AAAAAAAAAAAAAAAAAAAAAAAAAGTAAGCTAAAAGCGCATGAGATATGAGATTTCCGACAACTGTAGTATTACTGAGCGACACTGCGATCAGACGTACGGTGATTCTGTGCCTTGAGATCCTTGGAGAGACGAATCGCTGGTTTGAAAAAGCAAAGGCAGGCAGTCATAGTCAGCCAAAGTGAATTCAAGGGTTATTGGACTGAGCAATCCGAGATGCACAGCTGCAAATGCAGGTTTTGTATCTTACGTTCATGATGAGCGAGTCCTGGGTCAGGATCTTGCGAGGTTTATTACTATCTGAGCGTGAGCCCCTGCCAGTGGTCGTGACTGTACCTTGCTGCCTTAAATGGTGCTGGTATCGAGTGTGATTCCAAAGATGACGATGATGATGATCTCTGCCATTACAGATCCCTTTGCCATATCCAATTAAGCCCTCGCTCTTATTACTGATGCTCCGCTCATGTAGTGGTACATGTACTAGCCTTGTCCTTTGCTTATGACTGCCCTCGTCCTGAGCCAATCCGTGTTGACCTTCTTGTTCCAGGCATCTCTTTCCCATGGCTGTTTCGCACATTTTGGACTTTTCTCAAGTCAGTAAGGTTATTGAGAAAGAAAAATGAAAGAAAAAGTGCACAAGATCCCGCCGCCTAGTTGGCCGAAGGCTCAGGGGAAACATGGGTATCAAGCTGCGTACCTCGTGTTCCTTTGGCAGCGCCCTTGCCATTGCTTTCTGCTGCCTGTGCCTGCGTTCCATGTCCACGAGGGCGGCTATGCTTTGGTTTGGACCGACTCTCCTTGTCGTTAATGTTCAAGTTCTCAACTTCGACGTCGATAGCGGGCGGCTGCTTTCGCTTTTTTTTGGACCGTTCTTCTCCGCGTGATGAGGCGGCACCGGCAGCAATCTTTTGTGCGGTCTTTTCTGCAATATCCTCTGACAAGGTGGGACTTATCTCCCGTCGTCTTCTCATGATCGAAGGCGTCTTCACGCTGCTGTGGGTGTACTGTGACAATAACTCGTCGTGATTTTTATAGACTTGCTTCCGCTTGCCAGCGCTACGAATGGGACGCACCTTTGCCTGGCGCTGCTGTGGGTGAAATTGTCCTGATGTTGGCTGCGTTCCTTGCTGCTGCTGGGAGGCACTTTTTTTGGCTGGTGCGCCGGTCCACAGCTTGTCATGATCGGACTCGACAACACCTGTCTCTGGATCGCAGTTAAGCTCGATGGTGGCCTTGAGACCTTCAAGGTACTCTGCCACGAAGTCTCTCTGCTGGTCCAACTTTTTGTGGTGCTCGGTATGTGAGGTGAGGTTCTCTTCATTGAGTTCACGAGAGACAGGAGAGGGGCACGAGGTCGCGCTAGCGTTGTGCGTGTGTCCTTTGAGCATGAGGGGACGTTGGTAGTCGTTGCCGACTTTTCGTCAGTCGCGAGCGATAAATATAAGCTTAAAAGTGAGGAGCCGTATGTCAGGGGTAGAGAACAAATGCAATGGCAGACAAATAAAAAACAATAAAAGTGACAAATAAAAAATAAAGGGCGGAGAATGGTTGTAATGGTGGCAGGTGGCTAGCGTGTGGAAGCGAGAGACAGGACAGCAGAATGTAGAAGGAGAAGGAGAGAGAATGCTGTGTGCGTGTGTGGATGTCGAAGGAAGAAAAGAGAGAAAGGCAGAGGACGCTCCACGCACACCGCTGTAACACAATTGCGCCCTGGCCACCTTCGACTACGCTAAAAACAGTCCCGTTGCTGGAGCGATCTGCACTGGATGCATCGATGCATTGGCGGAGGAGGAGACTGAGACTGAGACTTAGACTGACGCGAGAGGGAAGGGGATGGAGGGTCATCCATGCTGATGATGATTGTCTTGCGCTTTTGTCCATTGCAGGCTACACTTCAGGATATTCGTCTGCATACCAGACCTCAGCAATCTTCCTGCTTAGGGCCTCGCCAATCTTCTTTCTACCCACATTCGAGCTGGCCTTGGCGATGATCGAGTCTCGCTTGGTCTTGGATGCCTCATCATCCAGTGCAGAAAACATAGCTCGTGGAGTTGAATATACTCGCGCAACCTCCACAGCCTTCTCACTGCTGATCCCGCGGATAGTCATCAGCATCTTGACGAACGTGTCCTTGACCATCAGTGTCTCCGACTTGCCATTCAACGACCCAAACGACCGATAGCTCGTCAGATAGGTCCGATCAGGCATCGTTTCCTGAAGGTGAGCCTGCAGATCCAAATAGGACGCGCGCTCCACCACCGCATCAGGGATCCCATAGAGAGTTTCATTCTAAAATATATATAATATACAGACATTCAGTATACAGATGACATCACCATGGCCCCGAGAACTAGATATGCATGTAGGCAGAGTAGAGGTTCACCTCGTAGAGATGCCTCAAGGCGTTAGTGACACTGACAAGGTAGTCGATCGTTTGGTCCGTATGGTTCGTGCGTCTAAGAAAGAAGCCGTCGTGCACCTGCGTCGATGTCATGGCAGTGCGGATGGCATCCGCGCCAATGTCGTACTGCTCGCCCATCTTGTGTGTTTCCACTAAGTAGATGACATGGCCCAGTCCTGATCGTCGTAGTCGAAACTAGCGAAGCAGGACAGTAACAGAGCGTTAAATTTTTCCGTCCTTCGTTAGTGCCGTGGCCCACATCATTGGTCCATGCACATTCTCCACCCTTTTTTTCCATGCTCATGTACCTTTTGCTCGTTGAACCGCCCGTCCTTGATACTGTAGACCAAATCGTCCATGCGCTTACGCTCTAATATGTAATCCAGCACCAGCTCATTTGGGACAGAATGGCTGGACTCTTTTAGGCGTGCGATCCAGATGACATCTCCAATGTCAAGCGCACGCTTGATAACCTTAATCCCCCGATCCTTCAACTTTTGCCCGATATAGTCCCGATCCGTTAGAGTGCGAACTTCGCGAATGTCCAGAACGAGGCACACCTCGAATGTTCCTGGCTGATAGACGATGGGTCGGAAGGTTGCAAGCGATTTAGCATTCGTCGGTGGGGCTCCAACAGCGGGCTTCCTCAGCGAAAAGGAATTGCTTCGCAGATGGGGAAAGGAGTCGCTTTTTGGGGTTTGTGTGGCCACCGCTTCTTGCGTTGATGAGCTGCTGGAGCGCATGACTACAGAGCCTTTTTGACTGGACAGCGCATTATTGGTGGAATCCCCAACTGTTTTACTGGTTATGGCGGCAGGGGCGGTGCGAGCGGGACGGATAGGCATCTTAATTTGGGATGGAGCTCTCTGCAGCCCCAATGAGGAACGTATGGGTATAGTTGTAGTCGGGGGGTTACTATGGGTTACTGCGAGAGATCCTGGAGACGCTGATGTTTTGGCCTTTGTTCGAATGTGGCTCAAAGACACTCCGTCATCCTCTTCGTCAGAGTCGCTTATAATGTTGATGAGCTGCTCCTTTTTAGAGACGGACGCCGTCGTCAGACCAGCTGATGATGAGGCTGATGTGGAAGATGAAGCGGACGAAGAAATGGCAGTTTTCCTTACACTAGCCAATGACGATCGTGATCTTTCTGGAGACGTACCCCAAAGAGTGTCTCCATCTCCTTTGTCTAGCATGTAACTGTGACTGGTGCCGGTAGGGCGCGCTTGGTATATATGTGTTGATGATGATGCATTTGAAGCAGAACGCGCAGCCATGAAAGAGGTGTGGCCGATAATCTCATCCATAGCATTATCCTCTGAATTGAGGAGTGAGCTGTATTTTCCTTCATCTATGGCCTGTAGCCGCAGCGCCGTTACTGCTGTCCCGTTTTCATCCCTCTTCCACGCTTCCGGAACAAGGTCATTGTCGGGCTCCTCATTGTTGGCGATAGTCCTCATCCGTCTCGCAAGGTCGATTCCTTCCCCTGTGAGATAATATTTTGTGGAGGACTGATACACCAGATTCTTGCCCAGTAGCGTCTTCATGGAATTCCAGGCGGTGTAAAACTTTCCGTGCTCTGAGTTCGCCAACGATGCGTCGCAATAAACCTGACCCTGTGTGGTAATCTCATGTTTGCTCATTGCCCCATCTCCGTTGGCAGTTTTGGAATCCAAGGCATCCAGTAATGTGAGAAGAATGGCGTAGGGTCCAGATCTGTATGTTGGCACGTATGCCTTCTGGACCTTAGAACGTGCCTTCTTTAACTTGGGCTCCTCCTCTTCTTCGTTCTCGTCCGCAGTGTTGTCGATCACTTTTGGACGTCCTTTCTTCCTCCTTGGAGCTGCAAAATAAACCAGACAAGAAGCACTTGTTATTTAACGCGCCTCTCGTTTCTTTCCCCAGTCTATGCCGGTATTCCACGAGGAGAAGTAGCTCGACATCAGCTTCGACTTTACCATGGGGCATGGGAAGATCATTCTCCTTGCAGTGCTCGCTCAGTTTCTTTTCCAGTTTTGCCACCAGCTTTTCTCCGATTCCTGCCAAACACATTGCCTCGACGGGATGCGTGAACTTTGTTGGATATTTTGCCATTGATTCATATGCCTAGAGTAAGCACTGCCCCATTGTTAATGAGTTTGGTTCCACCACATGAGTTGGACGAATGCGTTGAATAACTCCATCGCACGGTAGTGGTCCTGATCATACCTTGCGATAGAAATAGTAGGATTGGTAATTGTGCTCGCGAGCAAACTCCATCCACTCGCCGATCCATTCCAAATATAGTGGATTGCCACACTCCATGGCTCATAGTTTCCTCCTTCGAGAAAAAAAAGGTGATTGGAAAGAAACGAAGGATGGAATGCAGCCATCATCTGCCAGCACGTCTCGAAGTCGCGATTTTAAAATCGCGACACCAAAAAAAAAAAAAAAGTGCAAAAAATTTCCCAGCCGAGGATCGAACTCGGGATTGCTGCGTGTCTTTGGTATATTTTGAAAATATAAGCACAGTGCCTTGCCGACTTGGCCACTGGGAACCCCATGTTAATTCGACCGGTTGAAAAATCCCGAAGATTTATATAGTTGATTTTTCTACTAAAATCGTCTTCTGCACGTAATTGAGCCCCTTGGCCCCCGGCCCCGACTAAAAGTCTCATGTCTGGGCGTCTTCTGTCCTTATATAGGCTAATCTTCGGATACAGGAGTGATTGTGGAACTAGTAATATCAAGTTATAGTCAAAACAGTGGTTTTTTTTTTTGAACAGCAAAGCCCGAAGCGAGCCAGGATCTCATAATGGCGCAAAGGGCATACGCGGCGCGACAAGCGCGCGACATATAAAGGCCCAGGACGCCTCTGGCTTCAGACAAAGCAGCGAAGGAAGGCCATTTATCAGAGATATGGGGCCTCAAGGAAGAAGAGCACAACGACCTTTTGTGCCATGCAAAGATCAACGACACTATTGTGGAGGATGATGAGCGACACCAGCTGCGAGTCAAGGAGACAGCAAGGGCAAGAGCCATACGAAAGAAGCGACGCATGGAACTGCGAGGC